GTGTGTGTGTGTGTGTGTGTGCGGACATGGCCAATCTCATCCCCCCACTCCTCATGCGCGCGCACATAATTGGGGGACGAGAGATTGGCGGTGCAGACATACACACACACACAATTGAAATCGAGAAAACAATGTAGCTGATGATTTGTGTTTTTTTTTTTTTGTTTTTTGTTTTTGTTGAGGAGAATCCCGGATCCTCCAGTCTATTGGTGGGGAGCGGCACCTGCTGAAAGACGGGTCCAGCGTCCCTTTACAGCAAGAACCTGCCAGCATTGATTGCCTTGTTATCGGGGATTAACTGCGCAGGTATTCAGATCGTTAAAACCAAAGAACGACACAAGAGTGACACACTCTTGGGCATGGAGCCGCCTCTTCGGCCTGACCCTGGCCACCAGATCGATCTCATCACTATTCTTCCTTTCCAAAGGTAACCTGCTCAGTGAGACTGCCCCCCAATCCGAAGCTCGGTTGCCCCGCAATACATCAGCTTGTCTGCCGGCTCGTCTGCCATCCGCCAACTACAGTCCTACTTTCTCTGCTCCATACAATTGCATGGCCACCACAATCAGCTGATGGGACGGGAAGGGATCAGGAAAATCAGAAGCGGGTCGCAGCGGCATCCCCTGGCCCACGGTCTTTCAAACTCTGAAACAGATACAATAGTCCCCTGGTTGCATTCCTGGGTGCCGTGGTTGCCACGTGGCCGCCATCCCATCGGATGAAGGCGATCCGGCCCCCGTTCACACTGCCCAACCAGTCGCCTTGAGAATTGTTGGATTGTTTGTATTATATCCTTCTGTGAATTAAACAGATCCAATTGGTTTTTAACTCTCTGCCACTGTACCATAAGTTCTTGATGTATATATTGTTTTATCATGTACGTCATCTCTTCCCTGGCTATGTGAACCCCCTCTGTAACCTGTATGCAGTGTATCCTCCAGACGGCACACATGACAGCTCTCCTCCCTGTCTTAAACATATTGTTTGCAAAGGTACTCCACGAGGGGGAGGCCCATGCGTCACATAGTATCGCCCTCCACTCGCATGGTCAGGCAGATCCAGTGTCCAAAAGGCTCCAGATCCTGTCCCACCATTGCCATGTAAGGACTGCCCCAGGGCACTGCAAGCTGAGGATTACTTCTCACATCACCACTACATCGTTCGGTATGGACACACCATACTACAGACCTCGCTCATACTGATCCCTCGTACACGCACACACACACACACACACACACACACACACACACACACACACACACACACACACAGATACACTAGTCCGCACCTTACCTGCGTACAGTATCTTTGTCACCCCCTAGAGTTGAACCCGTGACCTGTGTATTTGTAGCAGTGGTAGACTGTAGTAGGGTCCAGGGGTCGCAGGGGTTCGATCTGTAGACCTGTCGTGTAGGAGTCTTTGTCAGGTCTAAGAGTCGTAGCTGTAGCTTTTCTGAAGGGGCAAGGTCGTAGCTGCTGCAGTCCAGAAAGGTCCAGGTCGTAGCTGCTACAGTCTCGAAAGGCCAAGTCTACGGCCTTCCGGAAGGTCCGAGTAGTGGCCTTTCGAAGTTGCCCACGTTTAGGCTGAGGCAAGTGGGCAAGTGGTGAGGCAAGTGGGCAAGTGGTGGAGTCTACCCGTGCTGAGTCAACAGTCCCAGTCCCCAGTCAGTCCCGGGCCAGTCAAGCAAGTACCGCATGGGACTGTGTGCACTTCGGGCATGGGAAAGGGCCCGACCAACAAGCTGCAGAAGTATAAATCAAGAGGCAGCGCCCAGTCATTCATTCATTCCTGCGTGAGCCATGCGGAAGCGCTGCCATAAGCGACTTGTGCAAGGAGGTCTGCAGTGAGCCCGAGGGAGAAGTGGGCGAGAGAGAGAAGGAGATTAGCCATAGCGATAGGGTAGTAGCGGCCATAGCCGCCATAGCTGTAGTTGGAGTTCAGTATGTGTGTGTGAGTGTCCAGAGAATCGCGTGTGGGATATCCAGGGTGATCCTGTGTACGCGAACAGGGAGTTGAGTGGGCGCTATGTCGCCATAGCCAGTTGAAGTGAGCTCGTGTCTGAGTTGCGTTCTTGGTTGTCATATCTCTGAGTTTTGAGTGGGCGCACATCGCCAGTTTGCTGCGCTACTGTTTGGATGCATGTAAAGAGTGAATGGAAGCGAGTCTGATTGCAGAGGGGCAAGAGGAGGGGATGGAATCTGGACATGAGTGAATTTTGTTTCTGGGCACTGTTTTGT